AAGTGATGCTGCAAAATCACAGCTCTGTACAACTTCTTGGTCAGCTTAATTCTCGAGTTGGCTCAACGTTGATTTAAATTTTGACCCGTACGTACGTGAGACTTAGAGGTGAGTAAGGGTTGAATTTAGAACCTCTGGGTTGGACGTGGGCAAGGAACATCCTCGTGAAGTTTAATCCTTCTACCTTTTGTGGCTCCCGAAATCATTTTCCCATCAAAAAGCCCGTGCGAGGGGGCTATGCGAAAGTGAGTGTTCATTTTGAGGATAGGGGTCCGCGCATAAGTGCAGATTAAGTTGTAGCTTTTGCAGACCCCGAGATGAAAACTCGGTACAGACGCATACATGGACATACACTCACATACAACCCTTCGAGAATATGCATTTTTACATTGCATAGGTGCAAATCATTAGCCAGCGCATTGATTACCTGTGCGAAAATACGTTTTTTGCACAGTTCTTCCGCGAGCTTTTGCTGTTAACGGCACCCTTTCTCCTGGCAAATGCTTTTGGTTGAATTGAGGTTGCCCATCGTTAAGAAATTATGACAGTGACTAACAATTCTTGCTCAAATATTTCAGCACTCCAGCTGTTCTGTTTATGGAGTTACGTTAAATTTCCCGTGTTCGTACATGAGGGGAAAGCGGATGCTGTCTTTGCGTGAGCTTCCTAAACGCGGTCCTGGGCCATGTTAAAAAAATCTCAGCACTAAGCTACTCAGGCTGCGGAAATACAACAAATTTCACGTGTCCGTACGCGGGGCTCAAACATGCGTAAATGTTGGTACCACAGTCCCGGGGTGGCGCTTGGACCAGGAATTTACTGGCAAAATTTCAGCGCTGAGGCTTGCTTGGTTAAAAAATTGGAATAGCCAGACAGGTGTACACATTCACACAAGTATACACACACACACACACACGCACATACATACACACACACAATGGGTCGTCACAGTATGCATTTTTGCACTTACATGTGTGCAGAAATGCAATAAACTTAGTCGAAATACCGGCTGCCGGTAAGAGGATACGTTTTTTGCATAGTTCCCGCGCAGGTTCTTTTCGCCAGTGACACGCTCTTCCCGGCAGATGCTTCTAACTAGAATTGTGAGTGGCCACTATGACTGTTAGAAATTATTACAGTGACTTCCAATCCATGCCCCAAGAAATTCAGCGCTCTGGATGCTTCGGTTGCGGAGTTACGCCAAATTCCACGTGCTCGTACGTGAGTGGCAATGTGAGTGTTTTCTTCGCTTGGGGTTACTTAAAGACGGCCCTACGTAGTGCTCAAAAAGTTTCAGTATTCAAGCTGCTCTGGTTGTAGAGTTACGTAAATTTCACGTATCCGCACGTGAGTGGCAATGTGAGTGCTTTCTTCGTCCGCGGTTGGTCAAACACGGTCCTGGGTAGCGCTCAGAAAGTTTCAGCGCTCCAGCTGCTCTGGTTGCAGAGTTACGTAAAATTCCACGTGTTCGTACGTGAATGATAAAGTGAATGTTTTCTACGCATACGATTACTCAAACACGGCCTTGAGTGACGCTCAGAAAGTTTCAGCACTCCAGCTGCTCTGGCTGCAGAGTTACGTCAAATTTCACATGCTCGTACGTGAGTGGCAACGTGAATGCTTTTTTCGCCCGCGTTTGCTCAAACACGGCCCTGGGTAATGCTCAGAAAGTTTCAGCACTCTAGCTGCTCTGGTTACGGGGTTACGTCAAATTCCAAGTGTGTACACGTGTTAGTGCGTGAGATGCAGGAGAGCTGATAAGTATTTTACTTTCACGGACAGAACAGTGGGCAACAAGTAAAGCTGCAAAATTACAGCTCTCTGCAGCTTATTGATCACCTTAAATTTGGAATTGGCATGATGCCAATTTAAAATTTGACTTGTGCGTGCGTGAGTCCTGAGGGTGCGTGGAAGCTGAATTTGAAATCTTTGGATTAGACGCGGTCAAGGAACAACTCTGTGAAGCTCCAACCTCCTAGCACGGGCCGTTCCCGAAAACGCTTTCTCGCCAAAAAAACTTTCATGTGCCCCAGCGTGAAAACCATTGTGGAACTGAACGTCCATTTTCAGCG